ATATGGGTCAAATTGCGGCCGCGATCTATTTTGCAGTTGGAATAATTTTTTTTAATTTATTTAGCGTTTTTCCTTGAAAGATCACAACAAAATCTACGAGTACTCCAATTTCCAGGTCTTTTCACTCGTTCTTCTGAGCGTGAAAACTCACTGAATTTGGAGTACTTTTTTAGTTGGTCCAGGCATGGCTGCGTGGCAAAAATTGAAAATATGTCGAATCGGCGCGACGATTATTTCGCAGTGGAAATGGTTTTTTATAAATGTTCTATTATTACTTATGAAAAGAACACGACCCTATCAATAGATTCTCAAAATTTCAGATTTTTTTGCATGTTCATCCGAGCACAGAAAATCGCCAAAGTTGCCTCTTGCAAAACGCCTATTTCATTTTGCCTTACCTCCCTGTTTTGAGAAGATGGGGCTCAATGCCTGGGCCTGAGGACCCTTTTGCAGTTCACATGCCCTCACTTCTTTTTGGGGTCTGCTTCTACCCGGGGACCGGTCCAACACCCCCCACTTCTTTTTTGGGTCCACTTCCACCCGAAGACCGGTCCTTCCTTTTTCCAAAAGTCTCGGTTCTACCAGAGCTAGCTGTAGGTAGTCCGCAATTTTGCCAAGGACCGGTCCCCCAAATGTTTTTGCCCCCTAAGAACCCACTTTGTGTCCTGGTCGCCCACCGCCAAAAATGTGACACCTTGACACAGACGCGGGAACCCACTATAGCGCAGCCTAAGGGCTGCGAATTATAGGCATGGATCAGATAGGAAATATGATGTTTGAGTGCCGATTTCGCTCTTTGATTGGTTGAATGGCACTGACTTTGTTTGATCATTAAAGTAAGTCCAGTTGAAATCCTTATTCGGAATAAAGAGAGCATAAGATTTGTGCAGAGGCAAGGTGGTATGAACGGTTCAATGACGGAACAAACAAAGCTTATCAGACAGAGCAATTTCGGAGAGCCTGAATGAAAGGCTGCAGGAAGGCTCTATTGACAACCCAAGTTTGCAGAGCTAGTTGAACTCCGTGTGAGTGTGTATGCGTGGGTGAGTGCGTGCGTATGTGTGTGTGTGTGTGTGTGTGTGTGTGTGAGAGAGAGAGAGAGGAGAGAGAGAAAGAGAGAGAGATGCATAGCGGAGGTTGGACGACTTCTTCCCCCACTTCCGGCCCTGCCCCTCCTGTGTGCCTCGTCTTCAAGCCCACTGTTTCCTTCCGCTGTATAGCTTCCCATGGAGCACTCCTCTAGACGGCGCACTGAACAAGCCACGGCCTGAGGTCGTGATGCGACACTGTCCGCGATCTATTTTGCAGTTGGAATGATTTTTTTTAATTTATTGGCCCAGGCATGGCTGAGTGGCAAAAATGGAAAATGTGTCGAATCGGTGCGACGATTATTTCGCAGTGTTTTTCTGGAAAGAACACGACCTCATCTATGGATTCTCAAATTTTTAGATTTTTGTGCATGTTCGTTCGAGCACAGAAAATCGTCAAAGTTGCCTCTTGCAAAACGCCTATTTCGTTGTGCTTGACCTCCCTGTTTTGAGAAGATGGGGCTCAATGCGTGGGCCTGAGGGCCCTTTTGCAGTTCACATGCCCTCACTTCTTTTTAGGGTCCGCTTCTACCCGGGGTCCGGTCCAACGCCCCCCACTTCTTTTTGGGGTCCACTTCCACCCGAGGACCGGTCCTTCCTTTTTCCAAAAGTCCCGATTCTAGCAGAGCTAGCTGTAGGTAGTCCACAGTTTTGCCAAGGACGGGTCCCCCAAATGTTTTTGCCCCTTTGTGTCCTGGTCGCCCGTCGCCAAAAATGCGACACCTTGACACAGACGCGGAAGCCCACTATACCGCAGCCTAAGGGCTGCGAACTGATGCCCAGGGCTCGGGCCGGCTTGAGGATAGAGACAACTCGAGGCTCGGGACTTGGGGGGGCTTGGGCACCTTAGGCGACGGGACAAGTTGCAGACACATGCCCACAGCGGCAAGCCGTGGAACAAACTTGTTGCGGGAGACGTGGGACCAACCTGGTACTTAGCACTGCACAGTGTAAATAATCTCGTATTGAGCGGTGGGACAGTGGGATCAACCTGGCACTTCGCGACGGCACAGTGGGACTACGCCCACTGGGCCATGGATGGCGATTGGCCTACCGGTAGTATGTTTACCGCATATCCTGGAGAGGGGCTCCAGGCAAAGGCACAAAAGTGGGAGTGAGATTCAGTAGGTAGGGGCTTCGTTCTACAACCCTGAACTGGATTTGAAAAGCTTAAAAAAAAAAAAAAACCGACCCTGGACTGGACTTGAAAAAGCTAAAAAACTACCCCGGGTAGTCTACTAGTATGTAGGAAGATTGTTGGATGGATAGTTAGGACTACATTGGTTAAGGATGATGAGTTGGTAATCCCAATTCCTTACAACTGTGTTTTTATAAGGTTATGTCAGAGTGGAAGTTAAGTTTTGGGAATGGTACAGAAAGAGTATTTGACTTAGCTGTTTAGATTATTTTCGTTAAGCTAAGCCGGTTGATGCTACCGGGATAACTCCGGGTTGAATTGTGAGGTCCCCAGCCTCCTATATGGTTTGATTGGTAATAAGATTGTCAGTTGTTGTTAAAAAAAAAAAAAAAAAAAAAAAAAAAAAAAAAAAAAAAGACCCAAGTTCGATTTCGTCTGGTCCTTGGCTAAGACCGGTCGCCTCACAACCTCAACCCAGCTATAAATCGTTCGTCGACCAAAAAAAAGAGAGGGAAAAAAAAAAAAAAAACGCGAGACTTGACTCGTCGACGACCAAATCGAACGACCCGTTTGCCTAAGAGCGGTCACTGTCGAATCTGGACAGGACGGTCTTTCAGGCCTTTTTTATTGTCATTATAGTATTATTACGGGGAACCCCGTAGTAGTAGCAGCCACATCCGTGCACAAGCCTCCAACGAGGGAAAATGCGGGAGCTGCACCCACCAGCAGGTGTGATACCTGCTACAGCAAGTGGGCGATACCGACTTGGGGTCAGCCCCCTCCCCCTATGAACATCAGCAGTCTCTTCTCTACTCAATGCCACTCGGGGGGACCGACGACATATTTCTAGGTGGCGGGCGCCAAGCTTGCCCAGGAAGGTACATGAGGCCAATGGGGATTG